ACCTGAGGTGGGAGGGTCAGAGATGATAGGGGGAGAAAAGAGGAAGGAATCTGCTTGTGAGCAAGAAGTAGCACTTTGCTTTTATATGAACAGATTCATCCATCCTTATTTCCCATTACCTCAGAGAGCTCCTATTTATGTGCTGGAAAGGATTCCCCCATTAAATGCAGTACTGACTTCTCTGGATTCTTGCAGGGGAAATGTTTCCATGGCGTATGTGCTCCTGTGATTTCTTTCTCTCTTTAACCTTGAAATGGCATTTCCTCTAGCTGTGCAAGGTGTACGTTGCTTTCTGTGCTCTCAGTTAAGTAAATAAGCATATGCTTGCTCTTCTCTTTTTGCCTTTGTGCCCTCATTATTAATTCCAAATGTTAAGTCCAATCTACGCGTGGCAGGGGAGACGAAGGGGAGGGATGGGGTGACTGCGCAGCCACATGTCCTCAGTCATGTGTTGTAACGCCAGAGCATACAACTCGCCAGCTCAGGGCGAGAGTCCCATTAGCCCTCACCTCCTGGCCATACTCTGCTCAGTGCTAAGCGGTGCTTACGTGCTGGCTTGGTACTCAGAGTATGCTATGCATCCCCTCTAGTGGCTGATGCATATGGAAAAGACACCTTCTTCATGGTACCTGCAGCTGACAGATTTAAATCAAGATTTTCATAAAGCTCTTCGTGACACTCAAGTTTAAGCAGGGAGCCTGTTATGGCTATATTATAGAAAGTACTACATGCTTTCCCTCTAAATATTAGCCTTTTTAGGGTCTTTCAATTTAGTAATTCAGATTTTGAAATACGACAGCATCTGGCCATGGGAGTGTTGTAATGTTGGTGCTAGAGGTGCCTGCAGTGACAGCGGCCAGGACAAGTTTAATTGCTGCTACGTACTTATGTCTGCCCGGGGCAAGTGATGTACCAGTGCGTGGGACAAGCTTGGGGTTGTAATACGAGTTGTGTTGGCACAAGTGCGCAGGAGTTGCTCAAAATCCAAGCAAACTTCTCAGAAAAAGGGACTGTGAGAAGAAGGTGGACCTCGGGGAAGGTGGGGTAACCTGGCTGCTAACACCGTCCTGCGTCTGTTCCTCTTCGCAGCTCAGGAGTGAAGACCCTGCCCCACAACGCCAAGGTGCACTACAACTACGCCAATTTTCTGAAAGACCAGGGCCGTAATGTTGAGGCGATCTACCACTACAAAACTGCTCTCAAGTAAGTCCCTTGAGGGCCCGGTGGGGCTCTGGCTGTGCGGTGCAGCCTGCCATTAGCCCAGCCCTTCCCCGCTGGCCATGGGGCGAGTTGTCTGCTCCTCATCCCTGGCTCCTGGGGGCAGCTCGGCTTTCGGAAGCTGGGAAAGTTCCCTGGCTCGGTGTTTGCTTGTCATTAAATGAGTTATCCTGGCTTCCCTCCAGCTCCCCGTGTGTGTATATGTGTGTGTGTGTGTGCACGCACCTCAATATATAAGATAGAAATGTTACCATAGCTACACATTGAGCAATGAGGTGTCATTTACGCAGCTGAATGTATGCTGTTAAGCAGGAGGTAGTTGTCCTAAATGCATTTTCAGGTTCCTGGGCCATTTATCTTAGTAAATTGTTAATGGTGCATGCCTGGAAAATGCCAGTGCTGTAGCCATCTGAAGTGCAGTAATAATAATAGTAGTTACTACTTGTATTGAGGCTTCTGTCCACAGAGCTTTGCATGAACACTAAACTAATTGATCCTGAAAATGCTCCTGTGCAGTAACAGAGTAAATATCATTACTGTGGTTCTGTACAGGGGGAAGCTGAAGCAGAAGGATGAATTGCGTTGCCCATAGATGCATGGTAAATCTGGGCCCAAGGCTGGGCTGTAATATGAGACATCTTCTGTAGTATCTCTGAAGGACCCTCCTGACGACGCGTGGTGGGGGTCATTCCCTGTGAGCAGCATCCCTCCGCTCGCCGCTCCTGCCAGTGCTGTTGGCGCAGCTCAGCCGGGGCCTCAGCTGCTCCCCACTGCCCGGGCAGTGCTTGGTGCAGCAAACGGGTCACCCCAGTTCCCAAACCTCTCCCCTCTGGTCCTGGGGGCTTGGGAGAAGGGACAAGTCCCTCAGGGGAATGAGTACAGGGAAAAGGGCGGAGGGGTGCTAGTGGCAAGGGAGAGCAAACATGGAGGGTGCAGATAATGTCTTTGAGAATAAAAGCATATGTGGGAAGGACAGACAAGGTGAGGAGTGGCTTTGATGGACGGCAAGGGCAGAGCTTAGCTCCATAGGGCACGTCAGGAGGTGCACGAAATGTTCTTTCCTGACATGTGGTGTGACAGGAAACTCCAGAAATTACATCTATTTTTTGTTTTCTGGGCAGCGGACAGGGTTATAACAAAGGCTTTCCAAAGGCTCCTAGCTTATCCAGGTTAAGCTGGGAGGACAGGCGTTCATTGTCACTGAGGAGGGCATGAACCTGAGTGAAGGTGATTTTTAGCTTTTTTGAGCACCATCCTGTTCTGTTTTACCATGCTGGGCATTTAGGAAGTCATTTAGAAAGCATTTAGAAAAACCTCCATCCTATTTTTTAATGTTTTCAGGAACGGAAAATCCAGCACAGCCATCAATAAATAGTACTGAAGGTTAATTACCTTGGCTGTTGAAAATGTCCTCCTTTATTTTTAGTCTGATTTGTTCAATGTCAGCTTCCAGTCGTTGGATTTGTTTACACCTTTAAACACCACACTGAAGATCCCATTACCAAAAGTCTGTTTTCCATAGAGTGATCAACTCCTCCCTTAACCTGCTCCTTGATACAGCCCACTGATGTAGCTGCTGGTGTTTTCAGTGTTATGCGAGTTTTTGAAGTCCTCCAGTCGTTCCTGTAGCTAGTCTCTGAACTTTCTCCAATTTAATAGAAAAGCCCATTGCAAGTTAAAAAAAAAGAGGGACTAACAAAAATTATCCAAGCCCTGCAGTGAATGTGCTAGTACACAGAGTAACATAACTGCTCCTACTAACATTGCTTCTGCTTGTGTAAATGGGATTTGCTGACAAAAGATTTTGCTCTTCTCTAACTCGGCAGCACCCGTTTATTATAATTATAATGCTGTCTTCTGCTCTGCAGTATTTCAATTATGAAAGAGTCTGTTTTGAGAACTGATTGCAAACATTTCCTCAACTTTATTAGATAGCACGGTTTGTGCAGATGGTATTGTTTGTAGAACATCTGAAGCCTTGTTGCGGCTTGGAGCCACACAGAACCAACCGTGCTCTTCTCTAGGTGTTCAGCGTCTCAGTGGCATCGGTGCTAGTGCTCGACTTGCTTCAGTAATTTCAGGATTAGTTGACTCTTTTGAAAAGTGATGTCCTGTCCCCACCTTGCGTGTTCATTGTCTGACCCAGCAGTGCAGACCAGGAGTTGGGAGTCTCCTGCTGGCTCCAGCATAGGGAAGCTGCATTACTTGGTCCCGCCACCTCATCTCTCTGCACTTACGCTTTCCTTATTTTTACCCCTTCTTCCCACCCCTGCCACAGGGAAAGTATTTGGGGCCTGTGTAATAAGCAATGAAGCACTGTAAGTAAAAAGTGTAGCGTGTTCTCCTGTTGAGAATTACATTCCGTGTTTTCCCCTCAGACGTACCCCTTCTGAAATGCCTGGTGGTGTGTGTAGGCCTTGCAGCCTCCGCTAGGTGCCTGTGCATAATGGCTGCGTTGGAGTGATGAAGAAGGTGATGGATCTGGGACAGGAAACATGATGGTGGATATAGTGGCAGACCCTAGATGGGTATTGCTGATAAGAACAGATTTCATGTCTAGGCTGTTTACCCATCCTCACAGACTCCAGCTGTGCAGTCGATGCTCTGATTGTAGAGCAATTACTCTACAATTAGAGAGAAGGAAGTAGTAGCTGTAATATCCTGACCAGATTTTGATAGTTCAGGGTATTTTTGGCCACTGGCCTGATGTGAAAATGGAAGAATGGCTGGGAAGCTGACTTACTGCTCACTCAGTGCATTTCCTGATCAGGGAGCAGGCAGACCAGCAGCTCAGGAGCTAACACAACAGGCTTCCCTGCTTTCCCCCAGGTACCCCTCACTGGGTGTCTGCTCTCCAGGTGAGTCCAGGTGGATGCACACTCCCCAGATTACAGAAAATGCAAGCTACTCGGGAGGCTTTGCAATCTAGCGGCAGGACTGTCAGAAGTACAGAAGATCAAAATATCATATCCACCTGGACCACAGTGAGCAGATTAGTAAAGGAATTAATAAGGAAATGGAGTCAATAAAGACACGGGCTGATGCTGCCGCCACCCGGGAGCTCCTGGGAGGTAGGAAAGGGAGAGCGGCATCGCCTCGTACCAGCTCCATCTGAGGCACATGGGTGATGGCTCATCCGCCATTCCAGCTCGCTTCTAAAGCTTGCGCCAAGTTGCAGTGTAGGTCTGCTTGATCTCTGGTGTATAAGTTTAACTGTTTGCTAAACAAAACTGATCCTGTCAGTCTGCGCTCGGCTGCTGGAACTGCTTGCAATTACCATTCCACCAACGTAATGATGTGTTTCCACGCACTGCGTCTCTGCCAGAAGTGTCAGTTGCCATGTAGCTATTTAGCAAAGCAACCCATTGCTCCTGTGAAGTAGGCAGGTGATGTCATAGCTATAGCTGTGGGAAAAGATGTTGAAGTGCACACAGGTTATGTAGTGAAATAATAGCAATTAAGACTAAATCCTGGGGAAGTTGATCCCTGGTGCTTTAATCGCTTCTGCTTTCAAAGGCAGCTGGGATCCTCTGCTGGCATGTGTTGGTGTATCTGTGTTAACTTCAGGGCAGATCAGTGGTGGAAGAGAAGAAAGTGTTTTCTCTGACAGCAAAACTGCAGGGCAGGTTTCCAAGGCAAACTTGGCAATTGATCCTGACAGCCACCTGTTGATGCCATTGCAGGTGGCCCGTCAAAAAGCTCATTCCTCACCCCAGCCTGGGGGCCAGTGACACAACACTGTGACCTAGCCAGGCTTAGGTAATTAGTGCAATCTAATTATGCTGTCCAAGAGCAAGGCGAAATGAAAAATAAAATGAAATGCAAAAATGGAGAACAGCATTTGAATTGGAGAGGGGGAGAATGAAAGAAGAAAAGTTCTGTGTAGACAGGAAAAGCTCCTCCTGTAAGTTGGGTTCCTGAAAGGGGAATGGAAGCAGAGCCCTTTGGAGATGCAGGGTGAGTTACCCATAAAGCAGACCTGATGAAGAGCTGGCATTCTGTGATTGTAGCGGTGGGTTATAAACCTTTCAGCTTACCTTTAGTAAAACAAGGAAAACACACCGCTGGATTAAACTGCTTTGCCGGTTTGCCTGACATATGGTAGTGACCTCAGGAGATACTTGGGTTTTTTTTCCTGCAAAAAGTAAAGGCCAGAAATACTCCATCTGAGATGTGAGTTGATCATGGCTACTCTGAAAGCTGGCCTTAACATTCTTGCTGCTTCTTCTGCTGCAGATTTCTGGCTGCTGCTAGCAATTTCGGAGACCCTTTGCTCCTGGAGATCACAGTGCTGGTCTTATCTGAAATAAAACTTGTCTCACCACTCTCATGTTTGTGAGTGAGAATATGAGGTCATGCAACCTCACACAAATATGAAGAACAACTCTGATGTAGTAGTGAAGACATTTTTGCTGTTGTTGATAGTTACCAAGCTTTTGTCCTGTTTCTCCCCAGCCTTGTTTGCTTGACGTTGTTGTTGAGGCTGTTCAGGAATGCATGTGAGCTGACATGCAGAGAGAGAAAAACAGCGGAGCCTTAAAATCCATTTGATGAAAATTCGTTATGTCTTCAATAATCTTTTTAACAATGGAGGGGGGGGAAGAAAATTCACCTTCCCTGTTACAGTTGCACTCATTCAAAATTTTCATTCCCAAAGCAGCTCTGTTTTACTGTCTATCTCCATGTTTGTTGCCAGGGCTGTGCTTCCCGTGGATGGCAGATCGATGGGAGCAACAGCAGGTGGGGCTGAAGGAGGTTGCTGGGTTTCTTGCTGGCGTTGGGTGAATAAACGTGCTCATAATAGTTCTGTGCTATTCAAGCTACATTTCTGTGTCTGGCAAAAGGTCAACATCTAAAAATTCATGTTTTCATTTTTGGATATAAAAACATACAGATTTGCCCTTAGCTAAAAAATACCAGAGTATTGTGTTTAAGTTAATAGTGAGGTAGAAAGAGTTTGTGTGAAGTCAGATACTGTGACCATC